AAAATTACAGAGGTGAGTCTTACCCCTAGTAGCTGTGCTGAGAAGCAGATGTCAGTGGAGGAAATGGAGGTATCTGCAAAAGCTTCCTGTGCTGAGACTTGGAAGAAAGCAAATATCAAGAGTCCTTGAGTAATAGCTGCCATTCTAGCCTGCTGCCCTGGGATGCTGCCAACTCAGCCAGAAGCCATTGTAATAAACTGACCTAGAAGAGGTGAAAAGATCTCTTCTAGTGCCATGTTATCATGACTGTTTTCTGATCCCTCAGCCTCACTTGCTGAAATCACAACTCAGTCTTTACTGCCTGGAAGAGTGCAGGTATGTTATTCCCTTCCCAATGCAACAGCCTTTCATGTAGATGGAGACCCTCAGCCTGCTGTCTGTAGTTTCCTAAACGGGATTTAATCTCAGGGAAGTGATAACAGTCACCATGTTCCAAGGGAGATGCCTGTGCTTGATCCAATAATTAATTGTCCATGTTCATTTGACGGTGTAGGTCTGACCTCCAGGGTCAGATCGAGTTGTCCGAATGTGTTTCTGTAGCAAAGAGTTTTCCTGATCATTCTAACTTAGGGAAGATGCTCTTTTTCCATGCTCTGCACCACCAACTACTTTTTCAGGGATGGTGGTGTTGTTTCACTACTAGTAGCGTCTGGAGGACCAGCACAGGCATGTAAACTCTCACAGAAACTGTCCTGTCTTTGCAGATGGACCTCCACACTTGGGAGGACTTGGCAAATAAGACAAGTGTGGAAGAATTCATCCTTCTTGGCTTCCCGGGCATGTGGTATTTCCGGGTCTCCCTTGTGGTGGTGTTTGCACTGACGTACTCCCTGACAGTAATTGGCAATGCGTCCATCATAGCCCTTGTGTGGACCAACAGCAACCTCCACACCCCACTGTACTTCTTCCTCTGCAATCTCTCCTTTCTGGAGATCTGGTACACTACAGGTGTTGTTCCTAAAGCCATAGGAGTCCTTCTGGGGACTAGCCAGACCATCTCCTTCAGTGTCTGCATCCTCCAGTTGTTCTTTCTTCTCTCTCTAGGCTCCACTGAGTGTTTTCTCTTGTCTGTCAACACCTATGACCGCTACTTAGCCATATGCTACCCTTTGAGATACAGCTCCATCATGAGCGGTGTCCTCTCTGCTCAGCTGGTGCTCAGCTCCTGTATGGGAGGCTTTCTGGCCGTCTCACTGCTGGCCTTTCTGACATCCAGGCTGACCTTCTGTGGCCCAGATGTCATCAACCATTTCCTCTGTGATATAGATTCCTGCCTTGCCCTCTCCTGCAGTGACACATGGCCAGTGGAGCTGGCAACTTTCCTCGTCTCCATAATTATTGTGGTGGCCTCCTGTGTGGTCACCCTGGTCTCCTACGTGTACATCATCTCTTCCATCCTGAGAATCTGGTCAGCCCATGGCCGGAAAAAGGCCTTTTTCCCTTGTCCTGTCCATCTCAGCGTCGTCACAATCTGGTGTGGCTCCACCATCTTCCTGTATGTCAAGCCATCGGCCCAGAACTCCCTGGATCTGAACAAACTTGTCAACACCTTTAACACCGTTGTAACTCCTTTGTTGAACCCCTTCATTTACACACTCAGGAACAAAGAAGTGAAGCAAGCTCTGGGGCAGGCTTTCCAGAAGAAGTGAAGCAGCTTTTCAAAGGACCTCAGTGGGAGCAAAAAGACGTATCCCCTCCCTTCCACAATTTGTGCCCTACAGACGTTCCTCACCCAAGTGTAAGTACACCTGGGCACCCCAGGTAGGGGGATGTCCCAGTTCCCCAGTGAGCTCATCTCACGCAACTTACAGCCATCTCAGCCTGGGATGAGCCTCGATTCTAAAGCCCCAACCTCCCTCTGTTAACTCCTGGGTAAACCCAGAATGCCTCACAGTGCTCTAAAGACCAGCGCTTGGAAAGGGTCACAAACCCCATCCAGAAACAGTTCTCTGACAGAACACCGGAGGAGTGGTCCTCCCACAGGCTTATATTCCAGTATCCCAAGTGCTTCATACTGTTAGAAGACGCAGCAGCTGGCTCACTGCTTTAGCAAATGGGCAGGTATTTCTCCGTTTAGTCTGACATTTTCTGGATGTGTCTATGCCCCATTCTGTGGACTGCTTCACTGAAACCTGCTTTGGCATGTCTGGTATCTCTACTTATAGCCGTTTTTCCTACCATAAGAGAGTCAATAAAATTTACATTTGCCTATCTTCCCTCTATCTAGTATCTGAATGTACTTATTGATGTTTAATTAAAAATATGCAAATCACTATGCTTCGTGCTAGATGTGTCAGGGCATTTCCACATCTAAAACACCACATCAGTTTCTAACAGTCCATTGTTCCACCTATTTTGGGCTTTGTTTTGGAAACCCTTTGATGTGATGGCCAAAGGCCCCAGATTTCAGAGCTTTCAAATGTTGGCTGGGTCACAAGTGTCTCTTTCCACTCTTTGGGAGCACGTTAACGCGTCCAAAGGCCACTTGACACTCCCCTTCCAATTTTCATTTCAGAACAGATGAATCACATTCTCAAAGCTCTTCTTTCTGCACACTGACAGTGAAGGGAGTCCCTGGGACCACTGCATAAGGAGGAGGCACCAACATGGCAGATGCACCTTTATGAACAGTGTGGGATTGACTTCACCTGAGTGTAGAGCTCTCCAAGGGAGATGACTGAGTCCAGACTGAATGTCTGCTCCTCCCTTCTGGAAGCAGTGGTACTTCTGGAGGGGATTCTCCTGTGTCCGCCTGTGCTGGGCACTTGGCTCTTAGACCAGCAGCCAGGACCAGGCACCAGTGCCCAATGACAGGCTGATGCCCACTTTTGTCAGCTGTGCTCTCTGTCTCAGTGGCCTTTGGGAACACACCTGGGCCAGCCCACTGAGGCTGGAGAAAGAGCCCGACCCTGGATCTGTCCTCAGGTTCCCATCACTGATTGTCATTCCTTGCTTTTGGGGATGAAGTGTGTCTCTGGTGTGTTGAAGGCCTCTGCAGCCCTGGAGAGCAACCAAAGGAGGACTTATATTGCGGTTGTGACCCTGGCTAGTAGCAAAACAAAACCACCATACATTCACCCTCCCCCACCCTGGGAGATCCAAGGGACCCAAGACACAGCAGAGTGCAGGACATTCAGGGCTGCCACCAACACCCCATCACTGCTGCCTAAAGTCCACTGAGATAAACAGGGGCATGCAAAGCCTCCAACAGGGCTGGCAGAGCAGAGCCATGACACTTGGGAGAGACCATCCTGGAACAGCAGGATGACAACATCCAGGGACCCTTGTGTTCCTCAGGTGCACTGGATGATGCCACATGAGCAACAGACTCCAGTTGCTAGGGTGGGACCCAGCTGGAAAGTCAGCCCCCTCCAGCTGAGCTTCCACATGCAGTGCTGGGCTGGCATTGCCTGAGAAGAGGTCCCCAGAACCATTTCTGTTGCCCATGGGAGGAAACAAGATCACGGAGATGTGGTTACCAGCTGCTGGACAGAGAAACCAGCATGGCCTCAGGGACATAGGGGCACCTCCAAGCCGAGCACTGGTGATTTCCCTGAGAAAGAGAAGAGACATGAAAAAGAGTGGGACCAGTCTCTTGCAGTGGAGGAGTGCAGGAGGGGCTTGAAGAGGAAATCTTGTCCGATATCTGGCTGACGGGTCTTTTTCACTTCCTGAGGGTTCAGGTGATGCCCACATGCAGAGCAAAGAAGGGCTCCCCATCTTGGGCTACTATGGGCACATGTGGAAAAACCATGAGAGCAGTTGTGCCTCCTACCACAAGCTTCGTTCTCCAGCTGTGGCCATCAGTGGAGGCACAGGGAAAGGAAACAAGAACACAAGCTGATCGTTTCCTTGCCCCCAGTACTCACTCCGGTGTACCAGCTATTTTAAGCAGAGGGCATTGACAGGCCTGGTTTGGCTTGTTTCTGGTGCAACCTCCAACAGGTCCGCCCCAGGGCAGATGTCTTTGTCTTTTGTCATCATCAAAGACCCTGGATCTAGGTGCAGCTGTAAAAGTCATGCTGGCCCCAGCAGCACAGGCGGGGGGGGCAGAGGCCCAGCCTCCACACAGCCCCCAGGTGCCACTGCTGGGCAGGCTGAGCTCAGAGCTCCATGCAAGCAGTGGCTGGGAGGGAACCGCTCCTCAGAGCACCCCCCACAACCCCCCTGCCCTGTTTCTGTGCAGTGCTGCAAGCTGTGGGCACCAGTCTGGGCTCAGTGCACAGAAATAGGCAGCGCTGTCCTGGAGCTTGGCATCCCGCACATGCAGAAGCACCCGGGAGTCATCTGCAGACATCACAGAGGAGAACCTCCCCGAATCCATGTGAGCTAAGAACTTGCTCACCTGCAGCAGCATCTGAGGGGACTGGCCCTGGCACTGCAGGTACCAGAAGATGTAAGGATTGGAATAGCTGGTGGTGTAATTGCAGTGCAGAGTTGCGTTGTGTCCCACCTGGGTGGTCATTTCTGCTGGGAACTGGAGCACAGAGTCCTTTTGGGCATGACCGGTAAAGCCAGAAAGGGCTTTCAGCTTTGCTTGCCTGTGCACCTGTCCATCTAACACTTCACCAGCTTGCTCACTGTCCCCATGTTCCATCTCCCTTCTCCGAGCCTCTGAAAGGCTGAGCTCTTCGGCCCTGCACACTTCTTGCTGCAGGATCT